AATTTATGTTCTTGATTTCTACCCCAATGACTAGATCTACATCTAGATTAGGCGTCTGATACCATTGATAGTTACATAGGATCACCTAGTTGCAGATCTAGCGGGTGTATACTTGAATTTAGAACATGGTAAACCCTAGAAAACAAACTAGTACTAGGAAAACAGAGAGAGAGAGAGGGATGCGGGGTGGCAAACCATCGGCCGCCTTCGAGGAAGACGAGCTGGCCATCGTGTCGGTGTCGGTGGAGGCGACGTCGTAGGGTGGCGGTGCATAGGCGGCGATGCAGAGGCGACGGTGCAGTGGCGGCGGTGGCCGGTGGCGGTGCTTCCCGGCGCTAAGAGCGCCCCCTCTCTAGATCGGCTAGGGTTGGGATGTAGGTGGGGTTGTGGCGGCGCAGGTGAACCTTGTGCCTTGTGCCCTGGCCCCACCTCCCTTTTTATGACGTTGTGCGATGGGGGTCCACCAACTATGCAACGGCTGGGCGCCCCCGATCAGGACGCGGATCCAAGGGTCCAATTGGTCGTGGTGGAGATCAATCTAACAGATATTGCTCAGCCGTAGCTCAAGGAGGCTTCCCAACTTGCCAAGCTCAGGAGGGATAGTGCCATCCAACCGATTTGCATGAAGGTCTCTAGGGCATAAGAGAACAGATGAGTTATAAAACTGAAGTAATGCTGAGAACAGCACAAGTTGATCTCTAGCTCTTCTTGTGCATTTTTGTGATCTTTGCCATGTCACCAATCTCACTGGGTATAGGCCCCGCAAGTTGGTTGTAGCTAAGGTTCAGCTCAATCAGGTTCTTTAGCATGCCGATGTCTTTTGGTATTGAGCCCATGAATGTATTGTGATCCAACACGCTGCAAGAATTTTCCCAAGACTATCAGTTGATATTCTTTTTGGGTGAAATTAAAATTGGAGTTTCATGGAGTGATAGCATTCACAGAGTTTGCAAAGATCTTAGGGATCCGATCTGTGGTGCCAAAAATCCTTGGAGAGATGAATTTGACAGCTCACTATATAGTGAAAATAATAGACACTTTAATTATATGAGAACAAGACGTTCATCAACAGAGAAAAAAAGTAGTTTAGGACTTGTTCACACAACAAAATCCTATCTGAATTTGGAGAAACAACACTTGTCTTTGTTTTTCTTTCAACATAAAACTGAAAAAAAAAAAACTGGCTTGAGGGTTTGCCTTCTAGATGGACCACAAAATCCACATACTCAAAACTATATATGTGCATGTTTTTTAGGAGGAGAATTGGAGAAATATTGTGGATGCTTGTTAAGTCAACTGAAGACAGGAATAAAAATTAGTAGATAAAGTTGAATGATAGCTTCCAGCTGGGTGCCTTATCTGGTGTCAGAAACTTTGTCCACTTCAACTGTGGAAGAACATGCATCATTCTGCTATTGCTGCAGAGATTTCTACCACCAGCAGTGTATAATTTCAACCACAGTGCATAATTGTCTGTTATCCATTTGAGCAAGCTCTAAAATGGGCCGGAATATCACATTTCGCATATGGTTAGCAACCTTCTTTTCTTTTTCATCTGAGCTAATGAACCATGCATGCTATTTGGACAAGTAACCAGGGAAGAGCCGAGTTAATCCTGCCCAGGTATTAATCCTGCCGTGCATCAGCGCCCCTTTTCGGGTCTCACTCTACAGCCGCTGTACGTACACGTACCGGAGCCGAGTTTGTACACCTGGGGCACGTGTCCGGACACGGCACACACTCACCACCCCGTGGCCGCCTGCACGTGACGAGGAGCACTGCACTAACGAGTAGTAGAGAACAGGACGCGCGCGGGACACGGCCAGCTCCAGAGTACAGGTAGCAAATCATCTATACCCGAAGCTGACACTTGAGCTTATCACTTTATCAGAGCACTGGTGTTCATCCGGTCATCCCTCCGTCGGAGTTTGAAATCTTCCGGACCATCGTTTCGGCTGAATGGCCTTATAAGGTATGGCTGAAAGTACTGTTAACTGGTTTGGTGTAAGAGAAAAATACTGTTCAAGCCGTGAATTATAAACCAGAAACGAGCGAATAAGCCGAAACGAACCTACTGGAATCCGGACACGCTCCTTCACGCAGGCACTCTGAAAGCGACTGGCCGGTTAGGTGACGCTTCAAATCTTTCCTGGGATCAGGGGTATATATAGAATACACTTTGGTTCCGTGTCACGGCCGGACCGGGTGTTTCTTTGCGCCGTGGTCGTTTCCTCGCACTTGCTTGGAGCCAGATATCTTTGACATTTTTATTAGGGAAGGATGACGCAATAACCTGAGAAGAGTTGTTGCAACCACTAGTCCACTATATTGCAGAAAGTTACGACAATTCTAGAGTAATCACCTCCGTTTTTAAAAACGAAATCTAGAGTAATCACTGATCAGAGATGGGGGTACACGTCACCGTCGTCACGTACTACTTAGTTTGACAGGGGGCCATCATCATGCCGTGACCTAGCCAAATGTTAGCCTGCAAGGAAAAGCAATAAAAGGTCCACTAGTTGATCACAAGAAATGAGTCATTCAAAAGTCACAATCATGTTCTTAATCTTAAGCTGGCTTCCTAGTTCTTATGTGGAACTTCTAAAAGAAAAAGGAAATGTTTGCTGTTTTTTTTTTTTTTTGTGGAGAAATGTGAGGCGTTTCCTCACTTTCCAGTGTTCAGTTTCATTCAGCATATGTGAATTTCTTGGAGCCTAGAGGAGAGAGATTTTTTTTCCCACACGAATATGCACGTGCAGGCCAGTGGAGATTGTTTAAGTTAAAGGTGGCCCGGAAAGGGAGATTGTTTAAGTTAAAGGTGGCCCGGAAAGGCAGATAGTGCTGCTTCCAAGCAAGTCAACGCAAGACTAATCATGATTCCTGTGGCTGCCAAATGGGATGCGGTGTGATATAGCCTTCAGACACAAGGTTCCCTGGTACTCTATTGAGAATGGCATTCTTTACTTTATCTCTCCTTTCTACATTCGCCTCTCAAAAAAGTCGTTTCACCACATTGAGCATCAAGCACCTGTAACCGCTTGCAATTCCCTAAAAGAGCATGGGTACAGAAAGAAATGCATTACAAATCAATACGATCAACTAATAGTCTAGCTAATTATTAGCTGAAGTACTAACTAACAACTACTGATTATGAGCATCAAGTATCTCACTAGTTGGAGCAAACTAAGTAGTCAATAACAACTAATAGTTAACTAGCTAATATTAGCTATGAGGTAGTATGAGCTATTAGCAGCTACTGGATCAAACAAGACCTTAGTCTTCATTCCAAAATGATTTTAATTTTCCTCGCATTTTACCTTCCTTGTTTCTTTTCTTGTGGCCTGTTTCACAGGGGGGCGAAATTGCTCCGTTCCAAATTAGACGTCACTTCAGTTTTATCATAAATCATGTCTCTAATTTTAACTAAATTTATAGAAAAATACAACAAAATCTATAACACCAAAATTAGATTCATTAAACCCATCTCGAAACATTTCCTGACAGTACATTTATTTGAGCTTACAGATGTTAATATATTTTTTTCTAAAAACTTGGCCAAATTTAACTTCGGACAAAGAAAGTGAGCTATAACTTGGAGCAGATAGAGTAACTGACGTCATGACCTTGACCATGTCACTGTAGCTAGATATTGATAATCTCTACAAGATCCTGGATGCAGTCTGGATGCAATGTAATGGATAATGCAACAAACATAACAGTAAAAGGTGAAAAAAAAATACTTGACATCAAACTTGGGGGACTAATGAAGAAGGCTCAAAGAAATTACGCTTCTGACTTCTCCCAGAGTCCCTTTTTTTTCTCTCCATTGACTATGAACTTGTTGACTGTTGAGAAAATAGTATGTAAAGCATTCCAAATAACTCTACTAGATATGCTTATGCTGCATAGCCCTTTTTCCACAATGGACTGTAGGCGTGGACACTCACTCAAACAATGCTGCATAGCCCTTTTTCCACAATGGACTGGGAGATTTTCAGCGCTCACTCAAACCAGAGGCATGAGCAAGGCAAGTTCATATACTTGATATATGGTAGAAGAAATCTAGTAGTAACAACCTTTACCTGACATCAATGCAAAGAAAACAATGCATTGCTCTAGTGGAGAACTGAAACCTGCAACTGGATTGACTCTTAAGAAACTGACACAGGCTTCGGAACTCCCAGTGATGCAAATCATAAATGGACCAGAAATGTTCACAAGGCACCACCTTGCTTTGCATCGTCTATCAGAGTACCGATTCAAGGGTTTTCTGCAGGGTAAAAATACTGGCGAAGTTGTTCTTTGTGTTAAGCTGTGGAAGCAGCAATGTTGCTTACCATGCCAGTGACCAGTGAAAGAGAGCATCTCAAGTAAAATTAACTCCCAAAGGATACCTTGACATGCTCCGTCAAACTCTCCACGGTACAAGAACACCCAGGAGTTCACATTGCAATACTTCTTTTTGAGCTATAGCACAGATATCTACGACATCCAATCTCAATGAGGAAGTGAATATTGGCTAAGAATTATATATTCTGCATAATTGTTGTTGAACTATTTCTGTGTAACATTTACAGTTGCTTTACAAAGTAAAGCCAATCAAAACAAAATTAAATACAGAAAAATGGTTATAGCTAAGTAGCTAACCATTGCTTTATCTGAAAAAAATACCTAAGGAATGGGTATTTGCTCAATTTATCTAGATTCTTCTCGTTGATTTCAGCCAATGAATAATTGGTATTTGGTCGCACCTCAATGACACTAAGTTAGATCATACTTCCCCCATTCCAAATTATAAGACACCAATTAGGGCTAGGTTGGAAACTCAAATCTCCTTGGGATCCCTCACTTTTCCCAGGGTGAACAATCCATGGGGATATCATTTGAATAAACCATTTCTCCATGGGGGGCTTTCCATCCCTGGGTTTGCCTCCCCCTTCTTTCCAAATTAGGCCTTATGTGTGACTGCAATTGAAAGGAAAAAAAAAACAGGGGGTCGTCTAAGACCCTAAATCTCTTTGCTCCCACATTTGAATCTGCTTTATTGAATTTTCTTTCCTCTGCTTTAGCAACTTGAGCTCATGAGGGTCGAAGGGAGGAGGCAGATCACATGGGCCTGCATCACGGGCAAACTTCACCATGGATTCCATAAGAAACTTCTTCTCGAGGCCTTCAGCTTGGCAGACCAAAGACTCTGAACAGACCTCAACAGCTTCAGGTGGCTTAGTGGGCTTGAACTTTAGGAGCTTGGCATATTCAGTTAAAAGATGAAGCATGTAGTCATAAACATAGTCCATACTGAGCTCTTCTTGAATGAAATTACTTGCTTGCTTTCCTATGCGCTGTGCCTATGAAAGATTCGGAGTATGAGAAAAGTATTTCAATTGAGAAAAACATAGTAATATTTCTCACCAAGGTAGAGGAACAATCTAAGATATTGCAACATAAAGGCACGCTAAAAATTCTAAACAGTGCAAGTAAAAAATCACTGCCACCTATCCAATTTAGTAGTTGTTTATAACATTAACGCTCACCTTGAGTTTTTATTTTTCTAAGATATACTGAATTCATAAAACTATACTACCATTGAAGTACTTTTGATGATGGTAATGTAAAGTTTTGCTTGACAAACTAAACCATTTTTATTAGCATAATGGTCCCGACTCCCGAGTTTTGAGTCCTAGGGCATACCTAAAGCATTTTTATTAGCATGCATCCTAGGACATTTGTTTTGTATCAGATTCAGAGGTAGTACCATTTAAAAGTTTTCTTAACTCTGTGGAAAACTAAAAATGGCTGTTAGTGGAGATAAGCCTAGTGAAACAAGTATTCATTGAATGGTAGACACTTATCCAGCCTAAGTTGAAAAGTAGGGCACTTCCAGTTTTGAATGGAAAACTTGTGTTGGATGAAAAATTTGTATCTTTAAGTTCTTAATCCCATGCTCAAATATTATATATCTGCTTGCTCCGTTTTATGTTCTGCTATGTTTGGAATCATGGTGGATTTTTATGCTATTTACGTTTCGACAAAAGGTCCCAGGTTGATTTCTCAGTGCACGGTATTATGGGCAGAAGTTGTTTGCACCAAACTCTATCAGTAACACCAACAGGTGATGATTTAATTATGTTGCCTTAATGAGACATAGCTATCCTAAGAAAGATTAGGCACCTTGGGTTCAAACCATAGACCATACGCTGCATCTCAACTGGATTTCAGCTAGTAACAAGCGGAGCTTATTACTATTATTTCCAAATCTAATGTTTAGAACTGCAAAAAATTGCCTACAAATGTAGATGACAAAATATAGATAGATGCAAGGTACCAATTGCTTGTGAGAGTTGCCCCAATCAACAGCATATTTTATGGAGGCACATTTATTGTCATCCCGAACAGGCCAATAATGCTGAACCGGCATAAGTGACCTTGAAAAGAAATCATAGTATCTTGGTGTAACCAACAGGGTCATTGAATCACATGCTAGTATATATTTCTCACTGATGGACCATGCTGATCCTTCAATATAGATCTTGTACCTGTAAACGGTTAAGCAAAAGTGCTAAGAACATAAAGTGCTATTGATAGAACTATGTAACTCCTTACTTGTTATAACTTAACAATTGTTTAAAAAAATATAACTTAACAAGAACAAGGAAAAAAAAGGCAAACCTGTGAGCACACTGACTACTCAAATCTGAGTCCTTATATCCTGCCTTGCTCTCCTTGAACCAGTCCTAAGTCCCAGAAAACCAAAAATAAAGTAAGACAATAAATATCTCCAGTATTTATCCACAAAAGCAACAGTTACAGAAGTAAACATGTAATAGTATTTACTAAATTCGAAGAGAACCATTTTAATCTATTAGGGGGGAACAGAGGGACTCTACTTTCTCCAAGGATCCTATTGCAGGGATGGAAAAATTAACAAACAAAAACAAGTTACCTGAGCGTAAATCCTTGTGTTCCAATCATGTGTACTAGAGACATTACACTTAACCAGTTCCTTACGTGTTGCAGAAACTGATGGATTCCCTTTCCAGTAAGCATAAGGTTCTCTATCCATCCATCTCACTTTGTTATTACCATCCTTCAAGTCCTCCTGCAGGGCATCCCATGGCTTTATGTTGATCTCCGGCCTGCCAATGAAGGATAGTCAGTATCATTAGAACCATTGTACTTCATATGCATAAAAGTTTAAGGTATGGAAACTATGGATTTAAAATTTATTACTGAAAACATTAGCATTAATCGAACTAGCATGTGGGTAGCTGAGCGAACAGTTTCTTCTAGCACAGTAAGGAATAGAAATGGTGCATTCAGTAGCTCTTCGACTGATGGTGTGTGCATATAATTGCCATACATTTTTGTGCCATTTTCTAGTGTTCAATTCCCAATTTATCCCTTTTAGACTGAAAAATGTGTAATTCAAACAAGCAAGCTGAGTAAAATTACCATCCCCAAAATGACCAATCTGGGAAGACGATATCCAACGTTTTATCATCCCCGCAGTAGCGGAAAAGCGGTGGCAACATCTCAGCGTACTTCCCGCGGTAGAGGTGGGCGCGGACGACAGGCCAGTCGACGGTGTCGAACATGAGGTCGAGATCGGGGACGCGGCCGGGGTAGCGACGGAGCAGCTGGAGGACGCCCCAGATGGTGAAGAGGTCCCGTGTCTGGAACGCCGGGCGGAACCGCTGGACGTAGGCGCGGCCCCCGAGCACGACGAGGCGGAAGGTGGCGGTGAGGCGGGCGCGGTCGAGCATGGCGCGCGTGATCCCTCCCGCGGCGCACCATGGGCGGAGGTCCTCGTGGATGAAGCGGAAGTAGGACGGGCACGAGGTGTTGTTAGAGGATGGCGAGGCGGCGGAGGAGGGCGGGGGTGGCGGTGGGCTAGGGGAGGCGGGGCAGATGGAGGGAGAGGAGAGCACGCGCGCCAGGGTTTGGGAGGTTTTGGACGCTTTGGCGGGATTGGAGAGGTTGAGGCTGGGGCAGGAGATGGTGTAGGAGGGAGCTGGTGGTCGGGAAGGGGGAGGAGGCGGCGGCAGCGGTGGGAGGTTTTGTAACGGTTGCGTTTCGGGGTGTTGGAGTTCGGCGGCGGCGGGAATGGCCGCGGTGGTGGGGAGGCGAGTCAGACGTCCCTGCAACGACAAAGAGTAACGCGACAAATAATTAAAACGGTTGGCCCAAAAGAAGTCATTAGAATGGTAAACCATTTGGGGCCTAAGGCCCATGCAGATGTGATTCGGTCATGCAAGCCCAATTATGAGCTAGCACAGGACATTAGCTGAACCAAGGCTCTGCTCAAAAAAAAAAAAAAAAACTGAACCAAGGCTCGTCAACACTTGTGAGCAGAATCTTTTTTTTAGGGATGTTAGAGCAGAATCTTTAGCGCTTGTACGCTGTTTCAGGTTTCCAACACATACTTTTAAACCAGACTCTTTCGACTCCTTGCATAGCTTTTTTTTTTGAGTTTTTCTTGCATAGCTTTTTCTCACACGAATAGCTCTCTTTTCATTACCATTACATGTCAGGTTCTTAATCTCTTTTTTTTCTCACATGAATGTCCATAAATATTTTTAATTAGTTTATCTTTTTGATCAGTTTTCTTTCAGAATTAACGAATTTTATTCGCTGTTACCTGTTAGCCTCAGTAACGAGTGAGCAAATGAGAGTGCAATTAGGAATCCGGCTGTTAGAGGGCCCATCCTAATCGGCTTGTGCCGCAGCTGGCAGCTCCACCCGCAGCTGAACGCTGCCGTTTCTGACCAACGGAGAAAGCAACCAGACGGAGCAAGATTCTCGCGGATTCGTGCAAGGTAATATCCGCTTGGTCAGGGCACATGTGACATGTCACTGGCTCGCCCAGTCACAGTCTTGCACCACAGACGTGGCGAGCTTGCAGGTTCCACTTGCCTTGCCTCTGCGATGTGAAAACCCCAGTTCGTAAGGAGCCATGAACAAACGCTCCCTGGGCTTTCTATTTCGCTCTCTGTCTCTTTCCACTTACCCGTTCTTTAACGACGACTAGCCTACACCGCTACACGAACGAGCAGTCGAGCACCGTGACGTGCCGGCTGCCGGGCAAAATAGTATACAGAAACGGAGTAGTATATATAATCTAGCTAGCTGCTAGCCTACCTACCGGTCTTCCTGCGCCGGCGGTCCGAGGGCGCACGGAGCTCGCCGGACTGCGAAAGTAGCAAGCCTCTTCCCTCGATCTGGGGTCCCCTAGCGTTCACGCACCACCGCCTTATACTATTGTTCAGTCGCTCTCATTGTCTTAGTGGCCACTACACGACGCTAGCTTCATCATAAAATAAAGTCAGCTAAGGGCTCATTCGGTTAACAAGATTCCAGCCCAGGATTTGTTCCATCTCATCAAAGTTTATATAAATTAGTCTACCATTCCTAGTAGGAATCATTCCAGGGCATCATTCCCTATCAATCGAACGGTGCCTAAAGGAATAAACTTTGGATGACTAGCTCACTCCTTTCTGAGCTACTGGAAGTCTAGAACTAATCAATCATGCAGCAATGATGGAGGGGAAAACTGTTTTTTTTTTCTGCCAACTAAGGCCATGAAAATAACTCTAGGTCATGTTGTGGCCTTGATTATTAGCAAGTCAGCCCGGCGAACGCAATGCAGAATTTAGAATTAGGTGCACTGCACACAAGGGTTTTCTGCTGGCTGCTGCCGCGGCAACCATTTGCAGGCGAAACAGAGCTCAACAGCAAGGCGCGCGGCTAGAAAGGAAAAACCGCCAGCTCCACCACGCCTCCACTCCCGAAATGAACATACCCAAAACCATTCGCGGCTTTGTTCTGATCTCAAAATATAGCAAGTTAATTCGCGCACTCTTGTTCTCAGAAAGGAAGTTATTACTCCATCGCTGGTCAATTTTTTCAGTTTCTAACAAGAAAAACTTAGCATCATTTCCTAATAAGTCCCAAAAACAAAAAGAGGGAGATTCTCGCGATCACGCGGAATTAAGCAGCAGCACCGCAACAAAAAGGATGCGCCGATCGTGACACGACAAGAAGGAATCAGAGAGCGTGGACTCACAGCGGTGGTGGCTGCGGTGATCCAGCGGCCCGAGACGACCACCCCGACGGCGACGACGGAGAGGAAGAGGAAGGCGGCGGTGGTCCTCGACAGCGCCGCCGCGAGCAGGGTGCGCACCCGGCAGTCCGCTGCTGCCGGGGCCGCCGTCGCCATGGCAGCCGGCCGCCGGAGCCGCGACGGTGAGTGCGCTGTGCGCCCGGGCGGCCCGGCGGGTGCGGGGTGCGCGAAAGCAGAGGAGACAGGAGAGGCAGACTGTGCTTCTTCCTCTGCTGCTGGAAGAGTGGACTAGTAATCTGGGCCGGACCGCCGGAGCGCGCCTCTTGAGCTCTCAGTTATGACGTCCCCAACGGCGCGGAGGGCGACGGCTTTATTTCTGAGGCCTGCGCGGGCAAAGGCGGTGCAGGCGTGCGGCAGTGCGCGAGGCGGCTAGCAGGCACGGGGAAAGGACGCTAGCAGGCAGGCAACTGGTCTTGCTGCACTGCACACCAATCTGGATTCTCGACCGCCTAGCCGTCAGGTTCACGTCATCACGTGTAATCGTGTACAGGAGTAGATTGTGATTCTGTGATCGCTCCCATGGTCCATGTATGGTGCATTTGGGAATCGGACTCGCCAGCGTCTGGACATCCGATTCGGAACGCTAGTATCGGATGGTGTCCGATCAGCAAGCAAGTGAGCGTCTTCAACAACATCAGACTTGCAAGCAAGCGCCCTAGCAGCGGGCTCGCGCCCCTCCATCTTACAACGCGCATCCCATATGCAACACCAACACCTCAATTTACTTTTGAAACATTCAGATCCAACACTTGCAACATACAAAAAAAAAAGACAGATGAAACACTTGAAACATGCCTCTAAAATACTGGTAAAACACCTGAAAACACTTGAAAATCATTGCAAACATTACGCAACATGCAGAAAAAACACTTAGAACATACGTGTGAAACATATCAATATAGAGAGAAATATATTTGCAACATACGTCTGAAAAACAGATAAAACATTGAGAACAGACGATTGCAACATATGCAACATACCGATCTACTTTTACAACATTCGTATGAAACACTTGAAGCATACATCTAAAACAACTGAAACAATTAAAACATAGGCTTGCAACATGTCTGAAAACGCCATGACACACTTGAAACACAGTGTCGCCGATGGCCATGGCCTACCTAGTGGGGGAACTGTGGTGGCGCAGGCCTCCCCTTTTCCTGCCGACGACGCGAGATCGATTGATGGGGGCGCAGGCGCAGGTGCAAGCGCAAGCCTCCCCAGGCGCAGGCGTAGGCCTCCCATGCCTTCCCTTCCGCGATGAGCGAGGTGGATGGGGGCGTGGTGCTGGATGGTGGCGCTCTCGAACTCGTGCTGGCGCGAGCTGTCGTTGCTCTGGTGGAGAAGGCGGCCGACGAGCTGGAGAAGGCCGTGGCGGGCTGGAGGCGCGGTGGAGGGGAGGAAGACGGGCAGCGGGGAGGCGCGATGGAGAGGGAGGAAGGCGGGCGGCCGTGCTCAGGCACGGTGGAGATGGTGGCCATCGGGCTCCGGTGGGCTTCATCCTCGGCTAAGATGAGCGTGGTGTGTCTTTCGTCATGGTGGAGCCAGTCGGGGTGTCAACGTCGCCTTTACCGCGACGTAGAAGACGCGGTGGTCTCACCATGGTTGTGCTCTGGCCATGGTGAGCGCGTGCGTGCGTGCGATGCGTATGCATGGCATGAGCAGAGCGCTCGACGCTGGCGTTCTCGAGTAGAGGGCTCGGCGTCGCCCCCTTTCTTCCCTTTGCTTCGCGTTTTCGTTTGGTTCAACAAGAGGGTCGTGGTGGTCCTTCTATGCTACCGGTTGGCTAAGCCGGAGCAAGAGCTCATGCTCCGACGTGGTCCGTTCATGGCGTCCGAGAGGCTAGGAGTGGTCGCGCCGGTGTTCCCGAGCCGCTAAGGGTCGGTGAGGCCAAGCCTTGGGCTTGTGCGCGTGCGGTGCGTGTGCAGCGTGTCCAAGAGCGGGAATGCTCCGCCTCTGTGTCCCCTAGGTGCGGGAACGCGGTGGCGTTCATGGCGAGTACGGCTAGCGCGGTGAGCGGCGAACGACGTGGCTCACCGTAGGGCTCGTGGCGGTAGGATGGCGGTGCGGTGGCGAGGCGAGGCCGTGATGAGGCGATGCAGTGCCGTGCCGAGCAGCTACATCACTGTAGCCGATCGGGGCGACGCTCCTAGCTCCGGCGAGGTCCGGTTCCACAGCGGCTTCCTTCTCCTCCTTGCTTCTTCCTCCTCCCCCTCTCTCGGCTTGACGCGGTGTGGTGCTGTGCCACCAGCGGCGGCGGCGAACAGGCTGAGGGTTAGGGCTCGCGGGCGTTGGCTTTTATAGCCGAGCTCCAAGGGCTCCAATGGCGGACGACGATCGGGCGGTGGTGATGCGTGCGGCGCATCCGACGGCCCGTGTGCGGTAGTGTAGGTGCGGCGCAAGGGGGAAACAGGGTCATGCGATGTGCGTGACCCCGGGCCCGTGTCTGCTCCGCGGTCGGCTCCTGGTCGCGTGGTGGAGAGAGCGTGGGGAAGACGACGATGCTGTAGCTGGGCAGCTGACAGAGGGGGTCGGGTCGTCAGGCGCTTGGCGCGATGTGGCTGCGTGCGGCGCGTGATGGCTGACGGGCGGGTCTGGCTCGTCAGTGGCTGTGCATGTGCGGGCGGCTACGCTGGGCCGACTTCGTGGGCTACACGCGTGAAAGGGCAGGCGAGGCTTGGCTGGGCTAGCTGGACCGGTCGAGGCAGGCTAGGCTGTGCTGCTCCCTCTTCTTTCCTTTCTCTTTTATTTCTTTTGCTTCGATTCAAATTTAGTTAGAGTTTAAACTTGAGCTTCGAGTTATGTAGTGGGTCCCACAAGATGTTTCAAATGGTGGTCAAAATACATCCCACATATTATGGTTTGTCATAAATATTAAGTAAGTTAGTTAAACATCACATAAGGCAAAAGAATCCAAATCACAAGTGGAATTAAGGATGCATGCATGATTTATTTATTTAGGAATTTAATTACACATGTGGCATAAAACCAAACTATGCTTATGAGTTTAACCTAGTTGGGTCACATCTAATCCAAAACTAGGGTTTGGCTTCTACATGTGTCACTCAACATCACATAGGGTTTAAACAAAAATTTTGTAGTTGTGATTTTTGGTGTGTGGATTTTTGGGTTGTTACAATACCAGTATATAAAAATTACAATTCAGACATATGCAAATTACACACATATGTGCAATGTAATTTCAGCATAACAGGACTGTAATTTTGATGCTTCATTATAAACTATGCAGCAACTTGAAAAGATGCAAGGATCATTAACAAAGATGATACTTGGAAATGACAGAAATAAGGTAAAACTATATTATATATGCTTGTCAAACTAGTTGTTATATTATAAATAGTAACCATTCTCATTATCAAACAAATAAAACAGAATCTGAGATTTGAAGATCTGGATGGAATCTTTGGACCACAAACTGACTGGTCAATATCAGAGTTAAGGTTGTCATATGAGGTAGATACAGACAGCTGAGCCAATTTAATTACATTTATAAGCAATACAAATATGTATTGGTATCAAAGTAAAACTTATCTTTGCAAAAATAGGATGGAGAAATGGCAATCGTCGCTGATGATAATGGAGCAATGACAAGCATAGCTGATGATGATAGATCTGAAATTCAACAATACCATTAGCAAACTGATGTATTCAATAATATGGACATTGATGAGGTACTTAAAAAATAATCTCTTCAACTATTTCAATCCACACCGAAAAAAATATTTATATTATAAATGACATTACTCAGAAACTAAGATTGTTGCTAATATATTTATAGGTACAGCATGAAAATCAAGATGATCAACTAACAATGGGAGAAAATGACTTGAGGATCATAGCAACAGAACCAACAAGTTCAGATATTACATCAGCTATAACAGATGATAATGAGCATGTAAGTGGCAGCTAGGAACTGACGGAGAAAGATATTGAAGAATTCATAAAAAAATGAGCAAGTTGCAGCATCTGAAGGCAACAATGCACCAATCAACAGCAAGTACACCCCACAGCTATCGATAGAATTTAAGACTAGGGATGATGCTCACCATTTCTTCAACTTCTATGTGTTCCTAGCCGGATTTCAAGTTGCCATAACACATACGACAAGAACTCAAAGTAAGAAGAGAAATAATGAGATAGTCAAAGTGACAATGAGATGCACTCGTCAAGGAAAAGAAAAGAAACCAAAGTCTTTAGCAAGAAGAAGCTGAAGCAGACAAGGATGTTGGAAAGAAATCCGGTAAGAAGGAAAACAAATGTTCAGCATAAGTCAGATTGTCCTTGTGTTATGATGGTGAAAGAAGGAGGTGTATGGAAGATTAAAACTTTTGATTTGGAGCATAATCATGAGCTATGCCCTGGAGACAGGGATCAGTTATTTCCTGGTCACAAGTATATGACAGAAATGAAAAAAGAACTTATCAAGACTCTAAACGATAACAATATCCCGACTCGGAAGATGGTTTCTATTCTATCGTATCTGAGAGGGGGGCTTACAACTCTACCGATAAAAAAGAAAGATATCAGCAACTATAGGATAAAGCTAAACAGAGAAGTTAAAGTACCAGATATGACACAAGTACTGTATTATTTCAAAAGAAACAAACTAAGGATCCGTCTTTCTTTTACAAGTTTGATTTAGATGAGGACAAGAGAGTGAGAAAATTGTTCTGAACAGACCGTTCTTCTATGAAATATTATGCAGATTATGAAGAATGTGTAAGTTTTGACACGACATATATGACCAACCGATACAACTTACCTTTTGCACCATTTGTTGGAATCACAGGACATGGGCAAAGTTGCCTTTTTGGATGTGATTTCCTGCATGATGAGACAGTGGACACTTTTAAGTGGGTATTTTAAACTTTCCTTGAAGCAATGGGAGGAAAACACCCTCAAACGATCATCACAGACCAAGACATGGCGATGAAATCAGCAATAGAGCAAGTCTTCATAAACACAAAGCATAGAAATTGCTTGTTCCACATAAAGACCAAATGCTACAATAAAAATGTCAAGGTCTTTGCAGCAAACGAAGGACTATATGAAGACTTCGAAGATATAGTGAACAA